TCCTACATATGCTTGCAAATTATTCAGGAATTCAGAAAAATCCATGACTGCTTGCAAATGCTTACTAGTAAGACTTTACTCAGTTACAAACGTCGGCTTTGAGAACTGCACGCCAGCGAGGCAAAAAAATTGGCCGAATTCAGTTTTAGCACTAGATGAATGTGTAAGTGTGTGGTTCAGTGCTCACTAGATAAGAGTTACCAAAAACGTGCCAGCAAGCAACTGTCCTGAAAAACTTTTTTTTTCGGACTTATTTCGAGCAGTGAAAGAGTAGATTATGATAATGCGCAACATGCATGCACCGCGGGCGAGCACTTCGGTCTCATCACATATGGCCCAAACAACCGAGGCACAAACACCCCGAAACAGTCGCGAAAGAACGCATCACACACAAAAATGCTGAGTAAACCGTCCTTTCAAAGCTTCTACTGAGGTTTCAAATCCTTGCCAATCCGGTATGCGTGTGCGTTGTTCCAATCAAATTTGACGCCTGTGACAGGAAGCTGACGACGAAGAGCTTTAAATGTTGTAGATGACATCTGCTGATAGTTTTCTTGCACTGCATCCTAAAAAATCAATATAAGGATTGCAATGCACTGCCTACATTCATTCAAAAGAGAATCTAAAATGAAAATCCGAACAGTCCAGACATTCCATTACAAAGGAAAAACAGCCCAACCCTGCGGTGTATCCACTTTGGACGACGAGAGATAGCAGCTCAGATCCTCAAAAAAGAGTGACAATTTAACTCGGAAGTGGCTTGACATCAGTTAGATAAATGCGAAATTTAACAGCGAGATTCCACAACTTAAACGGGGACTGCTAAAAATAGGAAAGAAATGGGCTTAGGATACAAAATTCAGAGATTGATTAAATGCAAAATAGAGTGCAAATTCCCCCATCCCCTCCCGCTGAAAACAAAAATGTGACAAAGTTGAAACGGCTTGCAAGGCACTCCAGACACATTTCGACTAAAAATCTCCTGTCCCTAAGCAACGTCAATTCCAGTCACACAAAAAAATTACTTGGTATTTTGCTTCTTCATCCCATATGGTCTTCAATACATCTTTTGCGGCCTGCGAAAAATCAGCCTGAAAATTCGATCTCTGAAGAGACAAAGAATTTACAATGCATTTGTTTTGATCAAACACTGTATAAATGGACACGAAATGCATTACCTTTACTATTATTATATGTAAGTTATTATCATCTCATTAGTAAAATTAAACCCCCCTCTCCCTCTCCCCTCCAAAAAAAAAAAAAAAACTAACAGAGAATGTAACTTTGGCAGTGATTTCTTTAGAGGATACGAGCTG